TATATATAGTTCATATTAGGTTCAGAATTTAAAAATATGACAATGGTGTTACCTAGTGAGAAAAAATGTCAATAACATTAAACTGAGCCAGGAATTACAGACAAGCTTGCTAAGTTAAAACCGCAGCCTAACGGCAGCTAGAGGGGCTACAGGTTTAAACAAATCTGAAGTTAATATCTGGAATCATTTAATGATCTGCAGGCAGATCTTCAGCTGTGCACGTGGAACAAACTGCTAACACTGAGGTGGTAGAACTTAGTAAATCATGTGTTGTCTTTTTTTTCATCATGGAAGCTTTTGTTTCAAGAAACTGGGCACAGTTAGAGAGTTTGATTTATTCTGCTTAATGTGAAATTAGGAAAATGGTAAATTAACTATGAAAATATTCATTAATCTTTCCCATGGCAATTACTGCTCCCTGAATTATTCTCCATGGGATCACTTTAGGTTTTCTGAATTGAAGAGAACAGGTGCTGTAGAGATAGATGTTTCTTTACTGTGAAAAATACCAGTAGAGAGCATTTCCAGAGAAGTTCCGCTTCTGAATAGCCTTAGGGGATTAGGCAGGTTTAGCAGTCCTTACGTTTAGCAATCCTAGTTTAAAATGTAATAAACATGAGAAAGGACACCTGATGGAACATATACTGGGCTAAGTGAGAAGGAGTGTTCATATGTTCTTACTATAATTTGTAAATATCTCTGCTAGCAGAACATTTAAAGGGACCTTATAGGCAACAAAACAACTTTAGTCTAATGAAGCAGTTTTAATGTATATATCATGCATCTGCAGTCTCACTGCTCAATTCTCTGCAAGTTTGGGAGTTAAATCACTTTTGTTTTTGTCCACGCAGCCCTTGCCACACCTCCCCTGGCTGTGGCGCACATACCCTACATGAAAGAAATGAAGATGTTACTTGCTTTTGAAGTGTTTATCTCCTGCTCTGTAAATCGAACTTGAATCACACACACAAAGGAAGCTCCTGCAGACTATAGCAAGCTAGTAACAGTTCTGGAGATAAGAAATTCTAAATTAAACAGACTGTGAAAGAAAGGAAGTGTAAACAGTAGATGTCTCTTTACAGAAAATGTTTAGGAAGGATGTGTATGTCACATGCAAGGAGGTGTGACTAAGGCTGTATAAACTAAGTAAGGCTTCCCCAAACTCCGGCCCTCAAGATGTTGCTGAACTACAACTCCCATGATTTTCAGCCTATCTACTTCATTCATAGAATCATGGGAGTTGTAGTTAAGCAACATCTGGAGGGTCGGAGTTAGGTGAAGCCTGAACTAAGTGATTTAACTTATAAATGGCAGAAAATGTAGCAGTGAGACTGCAGAGGCACGATCTATACATCAAAACTCCTTAATTCAGCTAAAGCTGTTTTGATTCCTATAGTGTCCCTTTAATAGTAGTTTGTCTGCACATCAGACCCATCACACAGTTTTTCGTGCCATCTTAGTTTGTATGTATGCAGCATTTATTCAGGCTTAGTCACTACATTGGGATTTCAAAGTTGATTCAAATAAAATTTCACATTTAAGGCCAACGTTACTGAAGTAGAGGGGGCGTTGACTTAGAATATTTTTCCGGGTTGGCTATTATGGCTTTACATTTGAATTCACTTTGATTTAGCTAGATTATAAATCATTACAACATTTCTCTATAACTTAATTAATTACTGTGTTTTCATTTTAAGTACCTGCAACTGTTTCATATCTTCATAATGTTTTCAATCCTGTAAATGCTTTGTCTACTCTACCTGCTGTTTAAACATCAACCAAAACAAATATCTTGAAGTGAAAGTATAATCACTTTAAAGAACATGCGATAGGAGAAAGTACAGCAAACAAAAATTCATCGTTTTTTCCCTCCTAATTGAAATAACCCTTCTTTAACGCTTATCTAATATTCATCGGGGTTAAGAGATTTTCAAACACAGAATGACATTTTAAAGTAAGATTTAATTTGTGTTATCATATTCAATGGTTACCTAAATGCATAACTAAACAAGCAACCTTGGGAAAATGATACTACAAGTAAAACCAACATTACATTTCTTAACTCTGTAGCACATTGCATATCAAAAGATTCAATATAGCGCACTCTTTAGGTTTAGATCCAAAATCACCAAATACTTATCTTAATTTGTAATATAAACAGTTCACTAACTGAATGCAAGAGGCTTGAAATGAGTTTATTTGATACTGTTAAACAGTAGGGGAGTGGGGGTACAAACGAACTGCAACGGGTGGCATGTCACATATTATGTATTCATTAAAGGAACACTATAATCACCAGAACCACCGCAGCTTAATGTCAATGTACTGGAGTCTATAGCTGGCCCTTACAGTCTTAGCACTGTAAGCATTGCCTATTTAGAGGAAAGGCAGTGCCTTCAATGCTGCCTAGTAAGACCTCTAGTGGCTGTCACTCAGATGACCACTAAGGGACTTCCTGGTATTGGTAATGCAAAGAGTGCAGGACCGACTTTCAGCATCTGCACGCACTGCGTGGAGACGCTAAACTCTCCCCATAGAGATGCATCTCCTCATCATGATTAATTATCTCAACCAGGGAGGCAGGGCCAGTCATGGCAAGAGCAGCATTGAGTGAGATACAAGGTAAGTTAATCTCACATTTTCAGGCATTCGGAGTGGGGCTAGGAACTTAAACATTGAACAGGTTGCTATAACGTTAGCATGTTTGTATGCCTAACGCTATAATGATCAATTAATCCAGGAATGATTTTATGTTTCCTCGGCCCTGTCTCAGTGTATAAATCTCCCCCACTTCCAGAATTTGTTGAAAGTGTGCAAAAAGTAACATAACTAGAGAATTCACTCAAGAAAGTGCAGGCTAGATTGCTTCTTGCATTTTTGTTTTTTAATTTGAAAGAAAATCCAAAGTTAAGGGGACACTCCAGGCAGCTAAACAAGTAAATCTTCAATTAAAGCTAATAAGCTGAATTACCTCTGGTTAGTTTCTCTTCTTTCAATTCTGTGTAGTTTTCCTGTAGTGCTGTAAAATGTTTAGCTGATTTCAGCAGTGTAACTCAGCCTCCTTAGCCACTCCCCTCTCACATTTCAACATGTTCCTGATTCACAGTCTCTGAAAAAAACGTACCCTTTGCAGCCAATGAAAATAGAGGCATGTCTTATCTAGTATAAGGAACACATACACAGACTGCACTGCAGAGACAAGACTAGAGCTAAGCATGCCAAATGTAATTTAGTTGTTACTCTTTTGCCATCATTTCTGTTTTTCTTTAGTTTCCTTTTATTTCATAGCTTTGATGTAGCCTTATCTCTTCTCCTTCCCTTCCTTATTTTCTTTGATATCCTGCCGAGTTTCTAGCCACCCCATATGTTCTTCTCTCCTTCCCTCCCTGTAATGTAAATATTAAATTCCCCTCTAGCACCTATTTACCAACCTCACTACTTAATGTTAACCCATTCCCCTCCAGCCCTCGTCAGCCAACCTCATGACCCACTGTTACCCCCTCCCCTCCACCCACTGTCAGCCAGCTTCACTATCCAATGTTAACCCCTTTGCCTTCAGCCCCTGTCAGCCCACCTCACTACCCACTGTTAACCCCTTACCCTTAGGCCCCTGTCAGCCAAACTCACCACCCACTTTTAATCCTTTCCCCACCAGCCCCTATCAGCCAACCTCACTACACATTGTTAACCCCTTCCACTCCAACCTCTGTGAGCCAACATCTCTACCCACTGTTAACCCTTACCTTCCGTCCCATTAGCCAACCTCACTACACACTGATAACCCCTTCCCCTCCAGTCCCTGTCAGCCAGCCTCACTAACCACATTAACCCCTTCACCTCCATCCTATCAGCCAACCTCTACCCACTATTAAAAAATAATTGTAGTGGAACGGATGCGCTAGCAACACTTTTATTCCATTTTATTTGGCTGTCCGTACGGCTCGTTTGTTTACCGAATCTACTCTGTGTGGTCCCTTTGTTTGCACCTTTTAATTACTGACCGCCCCTGGCTGTTAACCACAAATTGATCGTTCGTACAAGAGCTTTCTCTGTGTGGCCGACATTCGTATAACCAAACACACGTGTTCCAACAATTGGCGGCCATCTTGTCTCCTGAACGCGGGCAGTAGTACAGGGTAATCAACAGAGTGGAACTAATTTCTGATACACAACCCCACGAAAACCCGGTGCGAGAACACCGCAACCGGTCTTTGTTTTCTCTGGAACTGTTTTGGGGCATCACCTCGTGGACGACCGGTCAAAACTTCATTCGAATGGCGTTCCCGAACCACTGAAGGGATCTGAGTGATATTTCGTCAAAGTGTGCACTCAGATCCCAGCTATTCGGTGATATGATTTCGTGGAATTCTGAAGTATTAAAATTTATTTTTGGATAATCACTTATCCAAATATACTCCGAATTGACAACCCAGCGATAACTCCAGAAATTTAGATGGAATTGTAATATATGCAACTGAGGGTTTATTCAAGGAATTGCACCTAATGTGCTCATCCAATTCAGCCTAATCTATTTCTGATACCATTTGGATACTTGCATTATGTTGGGACCTTCTTAAAGGATCACTGAAATGATTCATGTTTGAAGAGTTTGTCCTCTTTTTTTTAATTTTACAAAAAAAAAGTGCTGATTTCCATACAAATTGTCACTTTTATAAACAAACCCCTGTCTGTCAGTAAGACAACCGGTCCTGTTACTTCCTAGTTGACTTCTCTTTGGGCTGAATTTGGGAAGTCAGTGATTGCACAGCCACTGAAATTCTGGCCTGTGGAAGAAGGGGACGGTTAGCAAAAACAGCAGAATTAAAGGCAAAGGCTGCAGTGTGAAAAAATACATGCATATTTTCAATGTGGGTATATATACTAAATAGTGCTTTTTATTGGGACAGTGGGGAGCCCTTTTAAGGTGTTTCAAGGTTAGGTATAGAATAGGGAAGATGTGAGATCATCCTCTAGGTTAGGGGTCCTCAAACTCCGGCCCCCCCCAGATGTTGCTGAACTACAACTCCCATGATTCTCTGTCTATCTGTGTAATTCAAAGAATCATGGGAGTTGTAGTTCAGCAACATCTGGGGGGCCGGAGTTTGAGGATCCCTGCTCTAGGTTAACATTGTGTTATATTCCACCTCCCAAATCCACAGTTTATTCTGGCCCTACAGAGTACATGATGCTGGGGATGGAGTGTTTAGGCATATTCATATATCTGTTACATAATACTGTACCGATGCTTAAGGCTACATTACTAAATATGCAGTAGTCAAAGATGATAACTTTTCCATGTGATTGAACAATACAGCTATGACATCATCCCATGCACATGTACCCTCCCTTCACAAACAGAGGCAAAGGTGTTCAGTCTGATATCAATGTTGGCGAAATGATTCTTGATTGAATCACACAGCAGGCATGGATATTTGCCACTAGATATTGACCTCTTTTGTATAATGTCAACATTTCACAGCAAAGTGTATAGTAAATGACATTGTTAGAGATAAAAAAAGAGATGGGTAGTGATAACATTTATAATTCAGTAATTTACACAGTATATTAAGTACATGCTAAATCATTTATTTCCCTAATTAGAAAAAGTTTTATACAATTTTCATTATGTTTGAAGTGATTTCTAGGATATAAATGAAATATATTTTTTTACAAAACAAAATAAAAATAAAATCAATGATGACTATTTGACAGCTACAAACATCAAGATACAGACAAAAAAAAAAAAACGTGGACATTTAAGCTCATATGAGCTGTTTTGTTAAACATTCTAGCTCCATCTGACGTCAGACGCAACCTGATTTCCTTTGTGTTGTTTGTCTATTTTTGTTTGGGGTTGGAGGTTCCCATTACACTCAGTATTTGCTACCTCACAGCCTCATCTCAGTTTGTTAGCGCTGTATCTACGTTATATATATTCTCAATATATATCAGTGTGTGTTAGATTGGAAAAGAACCAGACATTGCTGTATCTTTCAAAGTCTGTGCAGGTAATTGAAAAGCAACTCTATTTCTGCTATTTTCTGTAGGTCTAACAATGCTCAGCTGTGGCACAATTTAACAGATAGAGTTGATGGCAGATATTAAGTAGAGTTTATTCCTAAATCCAGTTTTTCTTTGTTGCATTGCTTACAGAATTAAACCCCTATGTGTATACGCCAGAACTGACTTTCAATCTTCTTCTAATTTATAATGAAATGGATGTTTAATTGGCTGAAAATCAGCTTCTCATTGTGTATTTTAATTCTTTTAGAAACAAGCATGCCTTTGCTTTTTCATCATTAAAAAAAGACTATGAACATATCCTGGAGAGTAAAAAAAAATATATTTTTCATATAGTCAGAATAATGGTCATGGCATTGAACTGCGCAAAATATCATACTGCACTGTGCGTGCCCAGATTTTATAGTCTTCATGTACATTACAGGTAATGATATGTGTAGGGAATATGTTTTTGCAGTTTATTTTTGGAATGCATGCATAGTTTTAGCCCATGTATTTCCAGAAAAGTTACATTTGCAATGCAATATTTACTGTTATAGAACCCTGGAGGTTAATCAAGATTCTTTTTGAAAATCTGCAGCCTCTATGCGTATTAATGATGCATGGATTTGGCTTTTATAATTGATCTGCTGTGGTTTGTGTGACCGTAATTAACAATTGCATATTCACCATTCTACTACATTCATTTAATTCCCTTTGTATTGCCCTTACAATTTAATTCCCACTTAATTAGTTCTAAAGCTTTAATGTGTTTGGTAAGTCTGGCATAGATAGCCACTAAAGATGTTGCACGGTGTTTTGCTGTTGCATTGCACCATTTTAACGGTTCTTTTCTTTTTTGCTAGAATTGCCTTTGTCAGAATTTAAAATGTAGTATTATACCTAGGGATCTCTTTGCATTCCATTCACTGCCACAAAAAATTAGCATGGCAGCTGGTCTGAAACTACTTAGTCAATCATACTGGCCTCTAGCTATAAAGTATTAGTTCACCATCTGAGATAAATGTCAATTTTCTTTTATAAGGACTCTATTATCCCCCTTTTTTTTTTAATGACTATTTAATAGACTTTTGCCCAATGAAAACACACATGCTTTTATTTATGCATGTTTTTCATTGGGGATATTCCTAAAACATGTTTGAAAAAGCTGCTTATCTGCAGCGTTAGCATTCCTTCTTCTTTTTCATTCACTTATTGAGAAGCCTTTGTGCTCAAGCTGCACATGAATGTGGTTTTCAATTGCTTCTCAAAGAGATGTAATACAGCTCTGTGACAAATGCTCCTTGCCCTGGACGTTTGCCACAAATTCATGGAGGAGTGTAGAAGCCTACTGGCCCACCGATTATGGGCCATATACGAAGACTCTGTTAGGGAGTGAAATCTCCACAACCGCCATTAGTAGCTCTCCCTGGGTGCCCCTGGGTCGGCACTTTCCCTTCATGCGAATAGAACCGAAAGCTGGCTGTCTGGTGGCTGTTCGCGTGAACCAAACCCAAGAATAGTCCCAGCGGCACTTAGCCGCGACTGCTATGGAACTAATTTTGGCATGAGGACTTTGTGGGTTCCCGGTCACCTCAACGGGACTTGAATGTTATGGAACTGTTTTCGGCATGAACAACTTGGTTCGCGGTTTTGAACCACTTTGAAATCCGCCAGGAGATCGCTTTTTGGAGGGAAGGTACCTGAGACTAAGGGGAACAAACGCTACCTAGGAGCAAGCCAAAGCACCCCGTATTCCGGCCACAGGAGCTCCCAGAAGGTGACCGGCAACAGCACCAAACGCCCTGGAACTGTTTGGGGCATAGGACCATGTGTGCGGCCAGTCAGAACTTCCACACAGTGGTGTTTCTCCTACACTGCATGGAGCTATTTGAGCTATTTGGAGAACTTGGGTGCTCAGATCAGGGCTATTTAACGATATATAATTTGTGGGGGTTCCTATTTGTTTTATATGTATTTTTTATGTGTTTTTGATATTTTGTATTCTATGCCTAGTCATGCTGACTCTGGGATTTGTAGCCATCTTGTGAGCATGCTGTGGGAGTGTTCTGGGCCTGTTTTCCAGCCTCCTGACTTTGTTGGCCAGATTAAACACATTCATTTCTAACCTTCATCAAGTCTAGGCTGATGTTTGGTGAATTGGGAGCTATAATCACTGCTTCACTGGGGATTTGGGAGAACTGCAGCAGATATACTCAGTCAGAGTATAGGGGATCCATTATAAGCTCATAGAGAATTGAGGAAGGCAGTCACACACCCACACAACACGCCTGACACTTCTGTTAACTTAGTGGAGCTAATAATGGAAGCAGAAGGACAACCTCCCTGTTTTTCTGATTGATAGCCAAAGAGTTATTTCTGCCCCAATTGAAGAAAGTCTATTTCTATAAAAATTGGCTATTTTTTTTTTTTGTAACACACAGGTAACACAGAGGTTCATTGTACAGGAACATATTATGCAGAGCAAAAAAAGGGCACACAAAACCACTTGTCAAAAATATTCCTTATTGGGAGACAATATACACTGCCTGGCGAAAAAAAAAAAAGTTGCCACCAAAAAAAGGTCATTGCTTCTGCAATGTCACAAGATTTATTTCCGTCCAGTGTTGCATTCATTTTTCACCAAGATCTTGTATTGATGATGGGAGAGTTGACCACTGCGGAAAGCCTTGCAACTGTCATTAGTCTAATACTATCCTTACCTTTTGTGTCGCTTTACCCCACTCCCTCTAGCACGTAAGCTTATTGAGCAGGGCCCTCAACCCCTCTGTTCCTGTGTGTCCAACTTGTCTGGTTACAACTACATGCCTGTTCGTCCACTCAGAACACAAACTATGATATCACATTCTGATATTTTTATTATATGAGATTCAGTTCTGTCTGAGAACAATGTCACAGATATACAACATGACAGGTACGTAATATATTCAATTTGCTGTCAAAGAACTAAGCACAGGTCATTGTTAAGAGTAAATTCTGATGAATCTTCATCTAATGAGAACATCTGTTTACTATATAGTAATTCTGTTATTCAAAATGTATATTTGTATAGTTACAGATCATGTGTGCATTGTGCAATATTACATTATGTGTTATGTTAAATATACGTGTATGGGTGTCTGGTTGGAAGCCCTAATGCTAGCTTTTAAACCAAAGACAACACATGTACTGTGTGTACACTGTAATTATTATTTTAAAGGTGACAAAAAGGGCCTATTCTCTCTAGCAGGATTTTTTTGTTAAATTTGCACTGTTCCCTTTAAAATCTCATGTTTACATTTAGAGGATTGGGGTTTTTGAGACATGTGTTTGGGGTGAGATCTGCTTATCTTGGTTATAGGAAGATGGCAGAGAATCAGGGCCAGGGCGCTTTTAAATTCACAATTCAGTGTTTTATATTGTATATACATACTATTTCATAAAGGGGTGAAGGAAGAAACAAGAAGATTGATCACCTCCATGAAGTAAAGAATAGTCTAGGTCATCTTGTCTGGTCTTCCATGCTAACCAGGATTATCTTGATGATCTCAACTCTATTTTTTAGATGGTGGTCCCATTTTATTATTTCCAGGTGGAGGACACACATTTGTGAAGTTCCAAATGGTTTAAAGTGTCTCTATCACATTCTGTCTTCTTTGCATATTTTGCAAAGAGCCTCGATGGTGACTTTGCCACTTGCAGTGAGGTGGACATAGGGTGCAGGGAAAAGTAAGTTTTACTTAACTGAATTTTCCAGAATTAAAAATTCTTATCCTGATGAAGGTTCCTGTTAGGGACTGAAACGTCGACCTCCCCACTATTGGAAACTATGACCATTCATAAAAAATTATTATTTCATAAGACTGAGTGTAGCCAAAATCTATTTATTTTTCTGCATACCATTTGCCTTTTGGGCTGGCAACTGGCATTTTATATTATTTTTCATCTTGAGTGCAAGAAGAGAGGGAGAGAGAGAGATGAATATAGGACTGCACTCACAGTTTTAAAAAAATTATTAAATTTATTGAAGTTACATGTGGTATATATGTTACATGGGATATAATTTCTTACTTTGTGTATATATGTGACAGAC